GCTCATATAGGGCAAGTGGTGGAGGTAGTGGGTGGTAGGACTGGGCTGGGGGGTGGAAGTGGGTATTCTCCCTCTACCACTGACTTCAGCTTCACGTCTCTCCCTGGTCCTGGGTTGGGGGAAAAGAAGAGGGAATGGGAGAGGATTGTTCTTCCTGGATCAGCCCTATATCAATCCAAAGCTGACTCTTCTTCCAAGGATGCTATCTAGGGTCTCTTGGTGGTTCCCTGTTAGACACCTCTCTCCTGCCATTCTCTAGCCCCTGGGTGATAGATACCTCTTGATTCCCATTGCTTGTAACTCTTTCCTCAGCCTACAACTACCTCAGTCCCTGGGCACTGTATTAACCCTGTCTTCCATTTTCTGTATTTTGATGCTTTGACCTGTTGGGGTCTCCTGACCCTAATGGGATTGCCCCTCCCAGGCCTAGCCAACTCCTAGAGGTAGTCAACAATTCTCCTGAGACCTGCTCTTCAAATGGGAACCAGCCAACCTGGAGCCCACATCTCACCACCTACTCTATTAGCTGTCAAACTCTGGGCCACTATTCCCCTGCCCTAATCACCGCAGGGTCAGACACCATATAACTAGAAGAAACTCCACTGCTCCAGAGCCCACTGAAATTATTCAACTAGTCAATCCTAAGCCTACTTACCCTACCTCACCCATTCCTTTCTGTGAAAACCACTATAAGGCTCTAGGCCACCTAGACCCTGTGCCATCTGGTGGTGGGAAACACTCACGCATGACTTTGTCTCAGCATACTTAATACAGGCCTTTCCCGACAAGGCAATGTTCTCCCTGCTCTGCCTCCAAGCAAGAGATTCCCAGCTCTCAGCCTCTGGGTTTTCCAAGCCAAAGTCAGGTCCCAGGCACCTCTGCCCCTGAGGCATTCCATGTGCTACGATTTGGATGCGGTTTGTTTCCACCAAAACCTATGTTAAAGTTTAATTGCCAGCGCAGCAGTGTTGGGAGGTGAGGCCTAGTGGGGGTGTCTGGATCATGGAATGGATCCCTCATGAATAGATTAATGCTCTCCCGAGTACATAAATTCCCAAGGGAAAAATGACAAGTAAATTGGGATTTTGCAAATGTCTGTGGTAATCTGCAAAGAGTAAAAGTCTCTCTTTCAAATTTCTCCACATCCTTGTCAACACTTGGTATTGTCACCCTTTCTTATGGATCTGAAAAGGCATTTCATTGTGGTTTGAATTTGCATTTACCTAGTGTCTAATGATGTTGAGCATCTTTTCACGCACCTGTCAACTGTGTGTGTATCTTCTTTGGAGATATGTCTATGCAAACCCTTTGCTCATTTTTAAATTAGGTTGTCTTTTTATTATTTTTGTGTAAAAGTTCTGCATATATTCTTGATACTAGTGTCTTCTGAGATATATGATTTGCAAATATTGTATTCCATCCTATAGTTTATCTTTTCACTTTTTTGACAGTATCATTGGAAGAATAAGAGTTTTACATTTTGATGAAGTTCAGTATCCATTTTTTCTTTTGTTGCTTACGCTTACATTGGCATATTTAAGAAATGATTACCTAATTTTAGATTATGAAGATTCATGCCTGTGTTTTCGCTTAAGGGTTTTATAGCTTTTGCTCTTACATTTAGGTTTTTTATCCATTTGGATTAATTTTTGTTTATGTTATTAGGTCAAATTTCACTCTTATTTAATGTTATTGATACAATTGTATTTACCTCTGACATTTTGCATTTTGTTTTCTGTATATCCTATGTATTTTCTGTTCCTCTATTTCTCCTTTAATGCCTTTTGTGTATTAAATAGATATATTTAGTATAACTTGTTACTTCCTCCAATGACTTTTTAATCTTTTTTTTTTTTTTTGAGTCAGGGTCTCACTCTCTTGTCTAGGCTGGAGGGCAGTGACATGATTATACCTCACCGCAGCCTTGAATTCCTGGGCTCAAGCAATCTTCCCTCCTCAGCCTCCCAAGTAGCTGAGACTACAGGTGCATGTCACCATAACCTGCCTTTTTTTTTTTTTGTAGAGACATGGTCTTGCTATGTTGCCCAGGCTTGACTTGAACTCCTGGGTTCAAGTAATCCTCTTGCCTTAGCCTCCCAAAGTGCTAAGATTACAGGTGTGAGCCACCATACCCAGCCTTTAATCATTTTTGAGTTATTGCATTACTGGTCACTCTAGGGCTTATAAAAAATAATCTACTTCAGATTTATATTGATTTAGTTCCAGTGAAATATAGACATTTTACTCTAATGTATCTCCATTCCCTCTCATATTTTGTGCTATTATTGTCATATATATTATACCTCTATATGGTAAAATATATCAATACATTTTTATAATTACTGATTTATATAGTTTGTATTTTCTAAGGAAGAAGATAGAAGAAAGGGGAGCAAGTATAAATCTATAGAGTATATAAACTTTATTTACCCTTTCTAGTTCTTTTCATGTCTTCCTATGAATTTGGTGTTATTTCCCTACTCCAGTATAGCTTTGTTCTCATCTGTCTCCTTTGTGCTATTGTCAAATATGTTGCATTTTTGTATGACATAATCCCAATAATATTTACAGATGTATGTATTTATATATATAGTTTGTGCATTTTCTTTTAAAAGCAGTCAAGAGAAGAAATATACAAATATTCAACTGCTACTGAGACCTTCTGTACTCCAGAGAGGCAAAGGCTGAAATATGAGGGCGAGGGAGAGATGTCTATGAACAGGGCACACCAGGGGGCCAGAAGAAAAAGGAAGGGTTTGGGTAAGGCATTCAGACAGTCAAGCGAATTGGGAGATAATTAGGACTGAGGCTACAGGCTCTTAAAATGATGCAGAGGGAAGTATGGGGCAGGAAGAAAAGGGTAAAAGAATCACTGCTAGCTTATAAGCAAGTGCTTTCTCGGTTCTAAGAGTTTTACCTGTCAGTACACGCAAACCCTCACAACAACATTATAAGATAGGCAAAGTTATTAGAAAACAGAGGCACAGAGGGGTAACTCGCCCAAGTTGATAGCTAGTACAGCCCTTGCTCTTCACTACTTTGTCTTCCAGCTTAGGAGAGAGTTGTCCCTGCTCCCATCCCCCACTCACAGTTCCTTAGAGTGACTGATCTCATAGATGAGATGACTGAGTCCCTATTCTAACCTCCTCCTATACCTGTGTTAAAAGGTTGCAAAGCTAAAATCAGCATTGCCCAGATTCTCTTGGAGTTGGAATCTGGGTGCCAATTGGGTTTTGAAAATTAGACATATTGGATGAGAAAGATGGGAAGTAAGGAGGAGGCTGCATCCTGTAGCTCAGGGGTCCCCAACCCCTGGGCCATAGACCAGTATTGGTTAGGAGCTGGGCCGCACAGCAGGAGATGAGTGGTGGGTGAGCAAGCAAAGCTTCATCTATATTTACAGCCACTCCCCATCGCTTGCAATACTGCCTGAGCTCCACCTCCTGTCAGATCAGCGTGGCATTAGATTCTCATAGGCACATGACCCTGTTGCAAACTGCATATGTGAGGGATCTAGGTTGTGCACTCTTTAGGAGAATCTAATGCCTCATGATCTGAGGTAGAGCTGAGGCAGTGATGCTAGTGCTGGGATGTGGCTGCAAATACAGATTAACATTAGCAGTGAGGTTTGATGGTACAGAGACCATAATAAATCAACTGCTTATAGACTCATATCAAAACTATCAGCGAGTAGCAAGTGAGTTGATGTACTTCCATTGTACAGCTGCATCTGGTGGAAGGCTTTAAGTCAGAATTTGACACTTATTTTAGTCCGTACATGGCCTGCTCATTATTCTATTTATCACTTCTGTCTGAGCCTCTTTTTAAAAGAAAAAAAGAAAGAAAGAAAAAAAGGATTTATTGAGAGGACAGAAAATCTCCCACAGTGGGAGGGGACACAAGTGGGTTGCCCCGTGCCTCTTTTTTTTAATGGTGAGCTGTATAATTATTTCATTATATATTACAATGTAATAATAATAGAAATAAAATGCACTATAAATATTATGCACTTGAATCATCCTGAAACCATTTCCTCACCCCCAGTCCGTGGAAAAATTGTCTTCCATGAAACTGGTCCCTGATGCCAAAAAGGTTGGGGACCACAGCTGTAACTCCTTGAACATATCTGCAGCTGTGTCCCAACTCTGGCTTACTGGGTGCCAAGAGATAACCATGGAGGTGGCAGCGCCATGGTTCTCCTATCCTTGCCACAAGAGCCTGGGCTTAAAACCCAGGCACTCTATTGGAGGCCTCCTTGGAAGCCCAGCCTAGAGCCCAGCCCTTAATGACTCTCCCAGGTTAGCGCCTAATTACCCACAGTAAGTCTCTTGGTTAAGCAGTGTTTATTTCTTCCCTGAGCCCTGATAATCGTCTCTTCCTTTTCTTCCCTTCCCCCACAACATTGGCAGTAGAGGGAAGAACAATGTCAGACAGTGGGGAGAAGAACCTGGGCAAATTCATTCATTCATGTGTTTGTTCATCTAATATTTACTACATATCTGCCATGTTACAATAACAGAGCCAGACACCCCCCTTCCTCCCACCTTCCATCCCCACCAGTGAGTCTTACTAGGATGGGGTATCAGGATCCAAATGAGTGGGGAAGAGGAATCTGTAGCTTCATGTATCTATGGCTTTGTACATGCTGTTCCATCTCCCTAGAACACACCTCCTCCTTCTCTCATCTACCTGGCAGGTTCCTAAAGTCTTTTCAGATACCACCTCCTCTCCAGAGCCGGGATTTGAACCCAGGCAGCTGACTCCAGAGCCCATGTGCTTAACAACCAGAGAGGAGAAGGGGTGAGGTTAGAAAGTTAAAAAAAAAAAAAAGGTACGTCAAAGTTCAGGTAAAGCAGTCATACGTAACACATATACAAGCCAGGGGCTAGTGTATTAAACCACAAGCCACACAGCTCTGCCAGTAAGACCTTCTGAATTTCCTCAGGAGGAAATTTATACTTAAGGACTAATTCTCAAAATGCTATGTTCTGCCCACTTACCTTGGCAAATAGGAAATGAGTAGAAACCTGAGCGGCAGGTGTCACACTGAGGGCCCTCAACACCAGGGCGGCACAGGCATTTTCCTTGGGCATCACATATTTCTGGGAGAACACCTTCCAAGTTACAGTTACACCCTACAGAGGACAAGGGGCTTTCAGAGGGGTCTCCAACTACCATTCCTTTGTTAATTTCTCCATCCCCCCCCAAAGGTTTCTGTTATGGAAATATAGATTAGAAATTACCTATGACTTATAAGACTATATCTTAGAGGGAAATTTTTAAAAAAATAATTCAGGGAGGGTCAGAGATATCATTAAGAAACATCTAGGGATGGGCATTTGTTTGCCAAAGTTATGCTCTTAACATCTATCCACCCTCTAAAGCTGAGCTTTGTAAAGTATAACTTCAATTTAATAGATTCGCATCTAATGACAATCTTGAATTCAACATATTTCTACCTTTCATTTTTTAGAAGAAAAGAAACAAACATAAATTCGGCCCTACTGTGTGACAATGCAACTTAGGGAGCTTCCCTTGGATTGTCTCACTTAATCCCCCAGGCACCTGGCCCTCCCAGCAGCCAGGCTGTTTCCAGTGCCCCTCCATCCAGCAATCCCTCTGCCCAAGGTGCCCTTCCCTGGTTCTTGGCACAGCCAGCTCTTTCTCATCCTTCAGGTATCAGTTCAAATGTCAGCTCCTCAGAAGGTCTCCCAGACCAGTCTGCATAAATGGACATCCTTCCTCTCCTTATTCTCTACTTAGCTGTGTGTGTCTTTTACAATGCCTTGATTTTTTGGAATCACTTGCTGGCCCATGACTTGCTTTGACCGGAATGAGGCAGAAGTGACTTCTGAGCCCAAGTGGCCACAAGCCTTGCAGCTTCCACTCTCGTCCTCTGGGAATCCTGAGACTGCCATGGGAGGGACCCAGTCTGGCCTCCTTGAGGATGAAAGGCCATGAGGAAAGAGACACTTAGATGTCCCATTTGAGCCCAGCCCCAGCAAGCCCTACAGCGAGTTCAACAGAAGAACCACATGGCCAACCCACACAGTTGTGGGAAATAACCCTTGTTGTTTCAAGCTACTAAGTTTTGGAGTGATTTATAACATGGAAATAGACCAGTGAAACACCCAGCAGAGTGGACACTCAGTGAGAGCTCACCACAGGGCCCCTAGGGCTGTCACACTGTATTTCTCAAAAAATAAACACATCTCAAAAACACAGGGCTCTTTCTTGACTTCAAGATGAAGAGCCCTGTAAGACAGGCAAACATTTCATAGGTTAGGAAAATGGTGCTCAGGAAAGTTCATTAACTTGCTCAAGGTCACATAGCCAGGAAGGCAGAGTTGGAATCTGAACCTAGGTCTGCCTGATTCCAAAGCTTGTATTATTTCTATTATGCCAAGATATAAACTCATAATGATTTTTAAAGCAACTTTCAGGATTAGTATTTTAAGGCAACTTTTCTTAGATTAGTATTTTAAAGAAACCTCATATTTAAAACATCTGCATTTCTGTTAATTATTTTAATATCGAAATTTGCAACAGGTCCCCTGAGGAAGATCCTGAAAAGCCCAAAGATTCACCTGGATTCACCCAATTATCAAGGAAAAGCAGCCTTGTGCATTTTGGAAAGATTTTCTATAAGGTCTAAAATAAGACTTCATATGCAAAGTAACTAAATCTCTTTGCCCTGAGTCTTCAATTTTTCAAATACAAGGTTAATAAAGTAGTGGGATTATTTTTTTCAAATACAATAGTTAAGAAAAATATCAGAGTAAATCAAGACAACTTTATAGTCTTTGCATGATCTCTAACCTTGTTCATACTTAAATAATCACTTAATTTGACAAAAAGAGCATTGAAAGTGAAGGGGTTCAGGATGTACCACCCCAAAGAAAGCCACTTTGGCATATTGATTATTTTCAGCTGAAGGCACTTTAGAAGCAGCAGATGTAGGAAAGACTCTCTGACTTTATCCTTTCTGCCTAAAAGCTAGTCATGAGATTTCTCAGAACATTCTTATCACCAGAGTCTGGGAGTTGACTGAAATGGATTTGCACAAGTACATCTACCAAATAATCCTGTCTTTCATTAGTTTCCCCCAGTATTTCCTAGTCACTGTCCCACTGTCCCAGCCCAAGCTCCTTTGTCTTGTCAGCCCCACAATTTATCGTTCTTTGTATAAATATGTATGGTATATTAGCTTTTGGCCCTGGTGACTTTTTTAGGTCTTCATTTTTCTTCTGAAGACTCCCAGATACATGTAAAAATATTAAATAAATGTGTAGGCTTTTTCCTGTGAATTTGTCTTATATCTGTTCATTCCTAGACCCAGCAACAGAACCCAAGAGGACAGAAGAAACTTTTTCCTCCCTCACACAAGTGACCATGGGCACATTCATGACAAGAGAAGTCTTAAAATCCAGTCTGGCACGAGCACCATCACAGCCATACAAGATCCCAATGCCACAGCCCTGTAGGCTGAGCACACCACAGGGAAAGGAAATGTTTTACTGTGAATTATAGTCTTGGCACTAAACCCTGCATTGGGATTTCAGTGAGAAACTTGGACTTTACCTTGGTATTGAGGTTCAAAGAATTCTTATTTACAATGGACACAGAAAGAACATTCCACACCTCATTAGTAGGTCATCGTGATTACAAGATTCAAGAGTCCCTTGAATCCCCTTCTCTTGCTAGAGTTCATCATTGTCTGCCTGGATTATTTCCAGAACCTTCTAAGGAGGAGGAAGGGAGAACGGAAGGAGGGGAGAGAGAGGAAGGAAGAAAGGAAGGGAGGGGGAGAAGGATGGAGGGAGGGAAGACTGGGAATTATTTTGGTTTATTCTGTTCACGACTAAATCCCCAGCAGCCAGGATGGTGCTTTGCACATAGTAAGGAATCATAAATACTTATAGGACAAGTGATTTGGTAGGTATAGCACCCCCATCATCTGCGCACTCGCCTCTCTGCCTCCAAAGACCGCTTGCTTATTGCACACCCCTGCTACTCTCTGGCCAGGGGCTTGTTTTTTGGGTTCAGAAGTTCCTCAGCCTTCCTGTAGGCCAAGCTGTAGGTGCTACAGAGTTAATGCCCCAGCAGTCCCAGTAAAAGCAGATAACTGAGATATGCCATTCTATATTACCCTAGAGTTGCTGAGAGCAATGCAGCTCCAGGTACTACAGTGGAACCTTACAGCCTGGCTGTGAACAGGGCTCAGATCACTGTCACTGCAAGCCAAATTTCCACAGAGACAAGTGTGAGAAGGGTGCCGCTGGATATTATAATTTCCCATTTTGCTATAGTAAGTACTTGCTAATGCACCTTTATAATGACTCCCTTCCCTCCCTGACTCACTCCCTTCCTGGTCTCTCCTGAGATCACCTCCCAAATAAACTATTTGCATTCAATCCCTTTCTCAGAGTCTGTTTTTGGAGAACTCAAGTTAGATAGTGGGCAACTGGTTGCCACTGAAGCAAGCTGGTGGCAAGCTTTTGATCACATAATCCAAAGTCTGTTTAGCTTCCTAAATCAGGTAGTTCCATAGCAAAAGACAGGCCGGAGTAAAGACTGATAGGTGGTGAGCAGGTTAGCTAGGAGACAGCTGCAAGGCACCAGCCATGCTCCAGAAAGGGAGAGTTGAACTTGTGTTTGGCCATGTGCACAGGAAGCCGGAAAAGAACATGGGTATAACATTTTCATTAAAGTTAAACCAAAATTAAACCAAAAGAAGGTAACTTGCCTTTTATATCTCCAGCTACTGGATCTTCTGGACTTGGAGTGGAAATAGGAAACATGGGAATTCCTGTAAAAATAGTTTAATAAAAATACAGAGGATTAAGGAAAACATTAAATTGTACTAAATCAAAAGATGCTCTCTCTCACTTAGTGAAAAGCAGCATGCAGAGACTAATTGAAAGAAAGGCAGCATTACTCTATTTCAAATGTGTCTTGTAACCGAAACCAGACTGGTGAGGCATTCTGGTTTGTATATTAAAGAACAGAAATTGATGTTTTGTGTTCACAATAGCTAAGTCTCAGCCTCAGTAGGAATGAGTGTGGCTTTTTTTCCACGGATGAAAAAAGTTTCCAAAGGGAAACGTTTTGCTGAAGTGGAAGAGGTAAAACAAAAACAGCAGAAGCACTAAAAGGGATCAAAACCGATGAGTCCAAAAACCGTTCTGAGCCATGGAAAAAACATTTTGATAGGTGTGTTATATCAGAGAGACTCTGAAGGTGACTGAAGTTTAAACATGTAAGAATAAATACACAATTCTATATAAATAAATTCTAGGGTTTTTTGGGTCCCCCATATAAGGTGATCATATAACTCAACACCCAAACTAGGACAATCTCCCCAGAGAAAGTGGATACAATTTTTAATAATTACCCCGTGACTGCAACCAGAACATACAATCACCCCATTCACGGGAGTCCTGCACCCATGTCCCCACAACTTGATATGCGTTTCCTGTGATGGATCTACTGGAGTTAGGAGGGTGGGATGGGTAACAGCTAACGTGGCAGTGGGGGAGGGAACTCTTCTTGAGACAGTGTTTCTTTGTCCTAACCCCAGAGCGCAGTTTTTCCACTGTTGCAGAACAAACAGAACCAATACTCTTGTTTCAACAGGCACAGTTGGTTTCTTGGAGTCTCCTGCTTCATTTTCTATAGTGTTTCTGACAGATATATGTTCTTTTCTTTCGGAAATGGTGAGATCACTGCAGTGGAGTGGAGGTGGGGACCATGAAACTTGACCTATTGTACAGAAGGTAATACACTCCCCGGTCTTCCAAAACACGAAACGCACTACATATATGCAAGTAAACATCTGAAAGCCCATGACAATTCTTCTACGTTTATGCAGACAAATCACACATGGATGACTAGTAAGCTGAAATTGCCAATATTTGACCTTTTTGACCTACTGAGACGGTATTGTCTATGGTACCACAGAACGTGTTAGAGATAAATCAGACTACAATATGTACTTGTATGAAATTCATATTCCCAACTCTCAGCAACACGTTCAGGTAAATACAGTTGACCTGGCCCCATTTCCATTCCTCCTCCCCCCAACCCTGCCTGCCCATGCCCCTCAGATGTTCATGCACAAAAGCCAGCTGTGGACCAAAAGGGTGGGCTCTTGTTCGGCAACAGATACTTACTAGAGCAAAATGGGAAGTTATAGTGTCCGACTGCACACTCCTCACAGTTATCTCCGTGGAAATTCTGCTTGCAGTGACAGCGACCTGAGCCCTGTTCACAGCCATCTGCGTGCTCAGGGTCACAGCTACAAGCTAAGAGAAATCTCAGTTATCAAAAGATCAGTCCTTCACAGCACTTAATAAGGCAAATATGTTCCAAGACTCCTCAGGCAATCTTTTATACTGGATCACTGGTCTACAATTATTCTCGAAAGGGCATCGCCTGTTTCTCATTCTCAATTCATACTGGATTGATGGTTCTCTTTGACCAACACTTATGGGCCATCAGAGATAAGCCTGACTGAGCATCCACACTGAGAGAATGTCATTTATCACACCGAGCACTGCTCAGTTCACAGAGTCACAGACAAAGCCTGCACAGTCTACAGTCAGGGGTGATGGGTGGGGTGTAGTGTAGGTCCTGGCGGGTCTGTTGGGTACAGCCTCTCTTGGCCATGAGCCAACTGTATATGTCCACCAAGTGTTGGTGGTAACACGGTGGTAACACGGACACAAGTGTGGGATGCCTACATGTGGATATATAATCGGTGGACTGTATAGCAAGATTATACCCATAACCCAAATGTTAGATTTAAGTGATGTGGCTTACTGAAGGTAGTTTTTGCAACCAAACACAATATTAGGTTTGCATTGCAGAAGGATCTCGTAGGAGTATAAGCGCTTTGGTAACCTTGCACTTGAAAACTTCCCTTGACGGCAGGTTGTCACCCTGGGCAGGGAAAATGCAATCATAGCTCATCTGAGTATATTATCTATGAAGAACTGGGAGATCTAGAGTTTCCTGGTGTCCTTTGCTTAATTTGTCTAGGATTTATGTGTCCTATGGATCCTTTATGCTAAGTCTCTAATACTTCTTCGATGCCGAAGAAAAAACTAGAAAGGTGATGAAAAAGTGGGGTTCCTGATGAGGTGTGATTACATTCATTTGCAATGTCTTGTTTTCCCCTGTCAATGTCTTTTCTTTGTGGGCACTTCACAAGGAATAGACATATTTTGCAGGAGGATGTGGAAGAAAGGAAAGTGGAAGTTCATGTTTGTTTGTTTTTTACCAACTAAGAATGTCCCAGAGAGAAGCAAACCAGTTTACATATTCTTTGGACTTTAATGTCTCCAAAATGTTAATGACATGATGAGCTAATATGGGGGTGGGAGGCGAACACAGGACTTCAGGACTGGAATTGTTTTCCAATTGTGACAACCAGACAATGTAAAAGAAACAAGTATGAATAGAGTAGGAATACATGTAGAGTAAAATCCATAATCTGATCTAAGGCCAATAATTCCACAGGGAAAGACTAGTGGCATTTTTCTGTATAGTAGATGTATGAATTGCATCCTGGATCTAGCATTTGGTGGTTTTGTTACCCAGGTCAAAATATTTAATTACTCAGACCCTTGGGTTGCCCCATGTCTAAAAATGAAAATAATCATATAATGTCCTATTTGTTGTAATAATTAAATAAAATCTCTGCGAAAGTAGTTAGGTAATTCCTTGCATGTGAAAAATTCTCAATAAATTGTAGCTATTTTAAATACTATGACTACTATTAAATCCTTGGGAAATCATTACTATGCTGTCTTGATGTTAAGTCTGACAAAAGTTAAAATTATTCAAGATCATAGAAACTTGTCAAAATACCAGAAAACGGAAGAACTGACATTTATTGCAGGCCTAGTATGTGACAGGCCCAATGTTAATTATTTCCCTACATGTTTTTGGTGGTATTTCATTGAATCTTGTGAAATATATTACCATTTCTGTTTACATATAAGAATTCTGAGGTTCAGAGAGATTATGCAAGTGTCTGAGGTCACACAGCAAGGAAGGAGTACAACTAGTACTATGAAGACAGAGGGTATGCAGGTAATTATTAAACAATAATAACTGCCTGGAGGCAGTATATATTGTCTAGAATACACTAAGTGGAAATGAAACTTACGAATGCAGCCATGAGGGGCGTCAGCCGGAACCCCATAAGGGCGGTAATAACCCTTAGCACACTGTTCACAGTTGACACCAGCTGTGTTGTGCTAGAAAGAAACCAAAGAAACTTGAAAGGAAGGGTTCTGGAGAAGTTCATACTGCTTATTTTTGTGCTATTCACCCAGAAGAATAATTCTGTAATATATAATTGTAATTTCAAAGTCACTAAAAAAATAAGCATTAATCTTGACCTTGACCAAAATTTACCACACAACACTGGTTTAACCTTGGCTCTGAAATTGTTCTCCCCTTTGGAGAGGAAATGAGGAAAAATTCCATGAACTAGGCAGCCAAGGCTTCATCCTTGACCAAAAAACCTGCTTTCATAAAGCACCTGACATTTGAGTGAGAGGGAAAAAAAAACACAAAAAAAACTCAAGAGAATCATTCCCTGTAGCCTCATTCAAAAGGACTGATGAATGGATGATACATTGCCTTTAGATTTAGCTCAAAGAATAAAGGGTCATGTGTGCATTTATATCCTCCCGAATTTTGGAAGAAATAGCATATACAGCTCCCTGTCTTCTTGTGGTTCTAATTTTATCTGTGTTTTAGTCATGAAATCCTTTTCTGGACATTTCTATTACGTGAATGGAAAATGTAGGCATGAGTCTCATACACAGAGCTCATTAAGAGTACAATACTAGCAGCTTTTTCTAGTTTATGGCTAATCCTTGTAATTGCCACAAAATCAAATTACCCAATGTGCATCATCAGTTTCCAAAACTATACACCATGAACCTAGCTCAATTCTGCCTCTCTCTCTCTAATTTGGAAACAATTAGGAGGACAATGTTCTTTCATTAATGAAAGAAAAGGCAACAGGAAGTGAACAAGTAAATAATATAACATACCCACACAAAAGTCTGCACAGAAACACAGAAGGGAGAACAAAGACCCATTCTGTATCCTCTTCTCTCTTTTAGATGATTTTATTAACTACAGGCTTTTATTTATTACCACTCCTTTTTCCTGTGGGCTAAAATCTAAATTCATTTTAACACTGAAGTCTAAAACCACACACACTGGCCTCTTCTCTGACTTAATATTTACATGCATAAACACTGCAGACAAACAAGAAACAGCTTCAGCCCTCCCTCTCACCCCCACCAATGCCAATTAACCCTCAGCTCTGTTGCTTGCCACTGTGACTTATAGACAGAAGACACCAGGCTAATCTTGGTTCCTAAATCTTTTCCAATTGGAGTAGGAAATGAGAAAATGTTCCCTGAAGCAGGCAGCCCAGGCTTTTGCCTCTACCAGAAAGTCTGGTTAATGAAGCACCTGCCACAAACAAGTTATATTTTTAAGTCATAAAGAACAACAATGAAAAGACAGCAAGAGCAACAAATTACAGTGCTTTGCCAGCCGGGCCTAGTCTCACACCTGTAACCCCAGCACTTTGAGAGACCCAGGCAGGAGAATTGCTTGAGCTCAGGAGTTCAAGAACAGGCCAGGTAACATAGTGAGGCCTCATCTCTACAAAAAATACACAAAATTTAGCTGGGCGTGGTAGCATGTGCCTGCAGTCCCAGCTACTCAGGAGGCAGAGATGGAACAATCGCTTGAGTTAGGAGGTCGAGGTTCCAGCCTGAGTGACAGAGTGAGACCCTGACTCAATCAATCAATCAACCACAGTGCTCTGCCAATGAAGTAATGCCTGTAATTTGTCTTGTACTCTCAGGTGTTTCTCTAGGACCTGTACCCGCTGAGGGTGAGACACACCACTTTATCCATGGACACCATGGTCCTGGTTGGATCAAGGCCAGGTTGAGACCCAAGGACAGTGATGACTCCCTAATTTCTGTATTGGAGTTTCTGGGGGAAGCCATCTTGCTTGGAGGAGTGGGTGCTTGAAGTTGCATTTGCATGACACTTAAGATGAGAAAAACTCAACTATCCAAGCCAAAGAGTGGAGTAGATGCTGATGAAATCTGTGCAGTCAGTAAGCAACTCTCCTCCTCCCCCCATACACATGTGCTTAGTCCTTCCATAAGCACAACCCAGAGAGATTTTATATTAGCATCACCCAGAGAGACCTTCTATAGAAGCTCACCTAAAAACCAGGCCCTGCTCTGATTAGTTTTAGGTCTGAATTCCTCCAAGCAGAATTTTTACAAGAATATTCAATCTTCAGGCAAACTCCTCTCTTCTGTCTCTCTACCTCTCTCTCTCAGTTCCTTGACCATACCTACAACTCCATTGCTATCTTCTATCCTTGTGAACCTCGAGCACTTGGAGACTATTGGCTAGTTCATTCACTGGCCACCTCTCCTGGGAGACCCCATAATGGATTTTCCTTACTTAGGCCTACAAGGCCCCACATGATCTGGTTTTTGCTATCTCTCTGGACTCATCAGCTCCCCTACTCAGCCACACTGGGTTCCTTGCCTCTCTGTTCCCTCTGCCTGGAATGTTCTCCACAGAGAGATGTCTGGCTCTTTTTCTCTCTTCTTTCAGTCTTGCTTAAATGCTACATCTCAGGGAACTGTCCATCCTACTTAAAATTCCTCATACCCCCAAACCAACAGTTAAAGTAGGATGCCCAAGAAACAAACAAAAAAGTCAATACTGCATGAAAATATAGTTAAGTCTGATAACTGCTGCTTGCCCCGAAAGATAATGATTTGGCTTTCTTAGACCCTGGCTGCTTGACTACCTGACAGTCTTTAGGGTTGACCAGGGATGTCCCCACTTCATGTCACCAGTGCAGAGCTGATGGTAGATCAGGTTACTGGGTTTCTGGCAGGCAGACCTTGCTCTAGGGTTTGTGTCTTCTACCAACAAACACAAACTTGATCTTGAAGCATCACCTTGTAACTCACCAAGCCAACTGGCCCTGCAGTACCTCCTGTCTTTCTCCCCTCCTGGTCAAGACTTTCTTCTCCATTATTTTTCCCCAATGAATACACAATTGTTCCAACGTAGCTTATGTAATGTTCATCTTTCTTTTCATAAGAAATGTCAATTTTATCTTAAACCAAAAAAAATTTTTTTTTGAGTTTGAGTTGGGCGAGACCTCATCTCCACAGTAAATAAAAAAAATTTTATTAAACTAAATTTTAGCATCTATATAAATTTATTTCTAGATTGTCTAGTAGGTTCTATCAGATAATTTATCCCTACATTGAGTCTATACTCAGTACAGATTCATGAAAGCTTTGGTATCTCAGGAGACAAGTTTTCCACAAAATTGTTCATCTTTTCTGGACTATTTTTCTATTCTCATATATGATTTTATAGATAAGAACTTTATAATCAGTCTGTCAACCTTCACAAAATATTCTGTTGGAACTCTGATTATGACTGCACTAAATTTATAGATTGATGTCTAAGAAATGTTATATTTATAATATTTAATATAGAAACATGTTATGCCTATCCATATAGGTCTTCTTTTAAAAATATCGATAGTGTTTTATAGGTTTAACTGCAGCTCCATAATTAATTCCTTCTGTCTGTTGCCTCTCAGAGTTGGTAGCTCTGAATCATGGCAATATCACAGCTGTTTTCTCCTCAATGTGTGCGTTTTTGCTTTCTATCTTTATGGAAGCTCTTGAAATTCCTGGTCTGTCGGTGATAGTCTTTCTTATTTTTCATGCTAGAATGTATTCCAGAAGGAGGGAGTGATCTGCTTTTTAAATATATTTTCTGGCATTTTGTGGGATTTGTTGCAAGAGGGAATATGGCCATATGTGCGCCATCTGCTTCTTGGTCCCTTTTCTTATCTTTGCATGGTGTATGTGCATGAGAGAGCCAAACAGTTGGAAAATAGTAACACCAACACATCAAGGACACAAACAACTAGGGAGCAAGCCTAAAACTTAGATCAGAAGTCATCTCTATAGAAGAGGGAAAAGGCTTTGTTTTCATTAATGGAGATAAATATCTTCATGTATCATCTCAAGCAACTGGGGTAATCTTCAATCTCAGTTAAGAACATCAATACTTCACCAAAGGAAAAGAAATCAAGGAGTCAATCCAAAAATTCTTGTGCTCCTAGCTGCCTTCTTTCATTGCTCTTTTTCCCCAACATTTTATCATGAAAAGTTTTCATCTTTATAATGAACACTGATCCTCCCCCACCTAGAATTTCCCATGAACATTTTACCATACTTGCTTGATCACATAATTACCCATCTACCCATTCCTCTATCTATCCACTAATCCATCGTATTTCTTATGCATTCATTTCAAGATAAATTGCAGATATCACTTACTTTTTCCTAAAGACTTCAGCGTGCATTTAATTAACTGGAACTCAATATTTGTATACTACTTTTTTCTTTTGCTATAAAATTTATATACAAGTGCAAAACTCATTTGTACATCTACTGAGTTATGATAAATGCCTACATCTATGAAACCCAATTCCTTACCTAGATATAGAATAATATCACCACCCAGAAAGTTCCCCAAGCCCCTTCCCAGTCATTCTCTACCACCAACTCCTCAGAGTCAATCACAGTTCTGATGTTTTTCACCACTGACTACTTTTGGCTATTTCAGAATTTCATTTAAATAACCTTTCTGTGTTAATATGGTTTTGTCCTTCATCTTTCACTCAGCATCATGTTTATAAGATTCTTGCATGTATCAGTAGTTTGATCCTCCTGTCCCTTCATAGTATGACATTCTATGAATATACCAGAGTTTCTTCATCCATTCTACTGTTGATGGTCACTGGGCTATTTTCAGTTTAGGACTATTTTCATAAAGCTACTATAAACTTTTTGTAAATAAGTGATTCTATTTCTTATGGGTAAATGCCTAGGAGTAGATTTTGGGAGTCATGGGATAGGTATATGTTTAGTTTGATTTTTTGTAATGGCCAGACATTTTGTAATGGCCAGAATGTACCATTCTGCAGTCACACCAACGATGCATTAATAGGTGTGGTTATTCCACATCCTCACCAAAATGTGGTGTTATTAGCCTTTTTAATAATAGCTATATTTTGACCAGATGTAGTAGCTCATGCGTGTAATCCCAGCACTTTGGAAAGCTGAGGTGGGAGTATTGCTTGTGCCTAGGAGTTCGAGACCAG